GGTCCTGTGGATAAGCTAGACAGATGGCTAACTGAGGTGTTTATTAACACATCAAAGCAGACTCTGGCCTCCAGTCTCTCCCAGCAAGTACCCATTGGAGAGTCCAGGCTGCTCTCAGCACTCCTCAGCTCCACCCCTACCCTAAACCTCTCCAGCCCCTGAGCTTGACTTCCCTTCCCCCAGCTTCTCTTTCCCACACAACTCAGCACTCCACACTCTCTTGGTTCTTTCTTGCTCCATTTCTGGATCTCTCTTTGTCCATTTTCCCGCTCTCCTATCTCTCTTCTCTTCCTCTCTCACTCTCCTCATCGTTCTTTCTTCTCATGACCTGGTCTAGTCTACTGGCCCTGTTCAGCCTGGACTCTTACGGGTGCCTCTGGCTGAATTCTTCTTCATATCTACACTAAGAACTTGCACCTCAGCCATGCCTAGGACTAGTCATGTCCTCATTTTCATTCACTACCTATAGGTATTCTGGCACAATTGACTCCTGCCCTTGGCATCATAGAATGAACAAATTTAGCATCTCAACCCCAAAAGGTCTGTTACCTGCTTACATTAACTTAATTTCATATCTCATAGAAAAGGGATGAAAATGACCAATTCTTTTATGAAAACACAGGTTTTATTCTCTCTCTCTTTCTCTCTCTCTCTCTCCCCTTTCCCCCTTCCTATTCCCATCCCCTTCCCTTCCCCCAATAAAACTCCTCACATAAGCTCTGCCTGCCTGTTTGTCCCTTTTCCACTCCATGCCTGGTCGACCACACTTCCTCCCCCTGACCCTGACCTTTTCTGATAAACTCCCACGTGGGTTGTTGAGCTCTGTGGTTAATCCCTAACTGCCACAGTTCCAGCCTTCTAACAACCTTTCATATCGTGATACTCACCAGGCTCCCTCTGTGTTTCCTCCTGTGGGGCCCTGACCATGGACTGGACTGACAACCCATGTTCCAATTACCCCTCTGCTGGGATACTCCACACAATATCTGCTGTGACTGGTAAATTCCCCTGCCCCCAGTTGGCATAAACATTTCCTTGAACCCGTGGGAGTGGCTGTTGAATATCTAGCACCCTTCCGATATTCCTGGGAGTGGGGTCACACCTGTGGGGGGGGCAGCCGTGATAAGCTAAGTATGGGCAGGTTACCCAAAGGAAGTTCTTTTGCTTCCAAGCAGAATCGGACTCACCCATCCTGAGGCAATACCTGGTTGCAGGAGGAAACACAAGGTGAGATTACCGGACCTCCACCCAAGAACAGACCATCCAAAGGCAATGTCTAGCATTCCAACCACTGTAGCTGTAGATAGGACCACCATCCAGACACACTCACCAGGACACCCTAGACAAATGTCAGCCAATCAGAGGTCCTAAAACCTCAGAAACCCCTCACCCCCACCTTTACTACTATAAAAATAAACAATTCTAACTTAGCTCCGGGCTCTCCTTTTATTCCAATATGTTGGACATGCGGAGAGACTGAGTTTGCAAACTTGATTAAAATAAAGGCTTTTTGCTTTTACATACAGGACTCGGTCTCCTTTTTGGCTTTTGTGGGACTTCGTGGATTTGGGCATAACAACACCCAGCCACTTTCTTCAAGGCTATGGATGGTCCATTTCATCCAAAGTCACCTCTAGCATACTTCCTTCAAGTGAGGCTTTTGGGCACAGTGCCTTAGCGTTGCCCTCACTGAGCGATGGCTTCACTTGTTGGATCTCCTGGTCCTTTCAGGGTATGGTCACCTTCTCGGCCTCATGCCTTTGGAGTATATGTCCCCTTGGTCCCTATAATTTTGTCCACTAATAAAATTGATAGCCTGAGACAGTATCACTGATCCTTACTTGCAAAAAAAAAGCCTTTGGATCTTCCTGCCTCACTCATGGGAAACAAACCTGTGAAAAGTATAAGCCTATCCACCCCTCTGGGATGCCTTTCAGAAAACTTAAAACCTTTCCACTTAATGCGACGTATAATGGCCCCTAAACTCACTCGCCTCTGTACTAAGAAATGACCTCTAGGCAGCAACTCAAATTGGCTGCCTTACAGCTCCTTAGATCCCGAAATTTAAGGGATCTGTCCAACTACTGCCTGCAAACTTGCACACAGAAGGAGTTACCGTATGTTCAGGCATTCTTCTATCTGAGCGCAAAACATCATCTCTATTCTTCATCTTCTTCATCTCATTTGTTTCTAGCTATGAACTTGAGCAAGAGGAAACTCCTACTACTTTAGATCCTACATCCTGCTAACGAACCCCCACTGTTTCATCCTCAACATCCAACTGCCCCCCAGCTCCTTCTCCCTCTCCAGCACCAGGCCACTCTTGGTGCCCAACACTGGCACCGTCCTTCAGCCACCATTACCCATTCTCGTGCTGCTATGGGCCCCTGCCCAGTCAACCAAGTCAGGTCCAGTTCTCCCTTGGTGAGAAGTAGCCAGGGTGGATGGACTGGTTCAAGTTCATGTCGCCTCCTCACTAGCAGAACTCTCTCAAATAGAAAAGAAACCGGGATCTTATACCTCTAACTCTACCACTTTTATAAAGGAATTCCAATATGCCACCCAGTCTTATGATCTCACCTTTCTATATATATGTATATGATTTTAACTAACAAACTACTACCTGAGGAACACAGGCGAGTTTAGGAGTAGGCTAGAGCCCATGCAGATGAATTTCATCAGACTAACGCAGCTCACCCAGTTAGGGCAGAGGCTGTCACAGATTGTAATCCCAACTGGGACTATAATACCCCGGGGGGGGGGCACTTTAGCTAGAAATCAGTTTACAACCTGCCCCCTGGAGGGGCTTTGTAAGGCTGCCCTCGACCCAGTAAATGATGAAAAACTTCAGGAAATAGTTCAGGACAGACAGGAAAATCCATCTCAGTTCCTAGAACACCTTACAAAGGCCCTCTTAAAGTATACTTAGACCCTAAAACCCAGAGACCAGACAACTACTTATGACTTATTTTTTCCAGAGTTTCTCTGACATTAGGACTAAACTTGGGCATCTGGAGAGAGGACCCTTTACCCTACAGGCAGAAGTTTTAGCATTGGCCTTTAAGGTGTACCATGAGAGGGATGAATAGGCCCACAAATGTAAATACAAGATGCTGGCCAAGTCCATCTGACCCAGCTCAGAGTCTGCCCGGGATCCCTTGCCCTCTGGGGCTCAAAGATCTCCTGGTTCTTGTTTCAAATGAGATCAAAATGGGCACTGAGCTTGGGCTCTTCCTAATACCCATGAGCCATGTAGACCATGTCCAAAGTGCCAGCAAGAGGAACACTGGTCAGCAAACTGTCCCCATGCACTTTGTGGCGTGGGGACATTAAACACAGACCACGCTCCAGTCGACTTCTTAGACATGACTGGATGACTGAGAAGGCCCAGGCTCTCTTGACCTGACCACCACTGTCATCTCCAATAGGGAACCCCGGGTGGACAGCATGGTATCAGGGTGATCCATCTCCTTTCTTCTGGACACTGGTGCCACATACTTGGTCATGAGAGAGTTTGGGGGACCCACCTCTCCTCATCTCCCTTACCTACTTCATCAGACCCCACCACTCAATTGTATTTTCGGGGGTATTCCTCTCACTCCTTCATTTTTGGTAGTGCCAACCTGTCCTGTGTTCTTCCTAAGAAGGAATCTTTTAGCAAAAGTAGGAGCTTTTATCTCATTTGATCCCACCTTCACCTGACCCCAGATTCCCCAGCAACTCCTCTCCTCCTCTTAGCCACCCATCCTACTGGTTCTAACTATCATCTCCTTTGACAGCCTCTCAGGTGGACCCAGAGTCTGGGGCACCCAAAACCCTTCTGTTGCTAAACACCATTCCCTCTTTGTCATTCAATTGCACCCCTACTTTATCATCTTCCCTCCCTACTGTGGACACCCTACCGTGACCACTTACCAACCCTTGTCCATCTCAAGTCAACACTGGAGATCAGGTCCTTCTCTCTTCTCCAGATCAACTCCCCTCACCACTTTCCCCTAAATGACAGCTCACTCTAACAGCTGCTAAGCTTGAAGGCCTCCCTCCTGGATTCATTTATCTCATCTCAAACCCTTTACTCCTCCACCCCCAGCTCATCCTCCTCCATACACAGTAACCCCAACTGCTCCCTTAATTCAGAAGAATGAGTCTTCAAGCCACAACTGTACTCTGCTGGATTGGGAACTCCAGATGCTCTCCTTCCTCACCCTTCCTCCCTCGAGGCTGATCCATGTTCTCCTGTTTCTAATAATTACACCCTGCTTTATTAACCTGCCCTCCATGTACCCCCAATGACTCATTCAAAACTCCTAATCAAATCAATTAACTGTTGTTACAGGATTCCCAGCCGTTAGTCACAGAGCTGGAGTCAAGTTTCCTGGGTACCCTCCAAAATCAATCACCTGTCTCTCCTGAAGGTTAAGGTGATGTCATAATGATGGGGAAAGGAACAGGTACTTATATAAAGATAAAGTTAAAGGTCGACTTGGATTCACTTCAAACAGGTCAGACATGCCCTCCCCTCAACTGCCAGGACCTGACAAATTTTTTTCTTCCTAAATTTAACATTATCTTCTGCTGACAGCATCTCGCCAGATCCAAGAAATATCGGAGGTTCCACATAGCCTGGGAAAGCAGTGAAATGACCATTTACCAACAGCCCAGCTCTTTCAGGGCCCCAAAGATGCCCGCTAAGTCAGCTGCAAGCTGTCTTGAAAATTCAGCGCTGTCCCACCTGCTAGCCCCTTTAATTTCCCCACCTTTTTAAAATAAGAAAAAGATGGAAATGTTAGGATTCCAGCATTATTCCGGCATTCAGGCAAACACCTAGCCAGCCCACGAGCCCTACAACCATTTGTGGCTACGTCATGCGTTGCCTGACTGTGCATGACTCTGTACGCATGAGCGAGCTTTCCCTTTTAAGTAAGTTCTGCCCACTCCTGGTCTCTCTTACTCACTGTTCCTCTGAAGGGGTAGGCAGGACTTTTCCTGCTTCTTTTTTTTTTCCTCTCTCTCTCTCTCTGTCTATTTTCTCCTCTCTCCCTTTTCCCATTCCCTTCCCTCTCCCCAATAAAACCCCTTACATAAGCTCTGCTTGCGCGTTTGCCCCCTTTCCACTCCTGGCCCAGCAGACCACACTTTCTCCCCCTTACCCTGTCTCTAATGCACTCCTGTGTGACGATGTTGACCTCTGTGGTTGATTCATCACACCACAGCCCCAGCCTATCAACAGCAAAATGTACTTCAGAAGTTTTCCAAACTTTTGTTCCTTTCCAGGTCTTCTGCACAAAACTGATGTCCCTGGCAATCCCACAGGACTTTTGAGCTGGCTAACAAACTGTTAAAACTACAGCATCAGAAAAGAAGGGTAAGTAACTCCTCATAACCCTAATGTTTTTCTCTAGGTGACGATGGATATTCTTCTGTAAAGGCACTTTGTGGGATTTTCCTCTCATACATTACCTATAAGTATTCTGGCAAAATCCACAGGCAGGCACATATGAAAGCCACTCAAGACCTTCTAACTTGAGGTATGAGGTATGCCTGTATAAGTCATGAATATAACTGTCTTTGTAGGTCAGGGGGATAAAATGTCCAATCCTGGTCCAGCAGAGCCTCCTACAGAGGCTGTAAAATGTCTTTGCCTGAATACCCTGCCCCTGGCCTGGAGGCAAGGAAAAGAGAGAGACACCTGTTAAAGGGTGCAGGAACTAGGAGACCTGGGCCAGCCTTTTCCCCTGCAAATCATGTCTCATCAGCAGACATTCAGTGGATTCTGCTTCCGTGCACATATTGCTAAGCCTGCTACCATTCATCCTGTCAGTTGGTGTGATGATCCCGACTGTGTTTTTAAATAATACTGCACACCTGCCTGAACGCTTACTTGCCACAGTACCCATGATGTGGGAGTGATTTCTTATTAATAAAGAAACTGCCTAGGCCCATTTGATAGGCCAACCCTTAGGTAGGCGGAGTAAACAGAACAGAATGCTGGGAGAAAGAAGCTGAGTCAGGAGTCGCCATGATTCTCCTGCTCCAGATAGATGCAGGTTAAGATCTTTCCTGGTAAGCCAGCTTGTGGAGCTACACAGATTATTAGAAATGGGTTAGATCGATATGTAAGAGCTAGCCAATAAGAAACTGGAACTTATGGGCCAAGCAGTGTTTAAAAGAATACAGTTTCCGTGTAATTATATCGGGGCATAAGCTAGCCATGTGGGCGGCCGGGTGCTGGGGATGCAGCCTCGCCGCTCCTATCACTACATACCCACGGATGGATTTCCTTACAACTACATTGGTTTCACGTTCCCCCTCCACCCATTATGTACTGCTCTTTTGTTATCACCCAGGATAACAGAGTGGCCAGAGTACAAAGAAAGATCAAAGGCCATGCTAAAATTGTAACAGCTTGGGCATCTGAGCCTGGGAGCCTCACCAAGGTCATTTATACTACAAATAGGCCTTCTTGTGCTGATCATAGGCAATGGGACCCCACGGGTAAGCTTTTAATGTGGTCTAAGTGTGCTACCAAACATCACTGTAATAAAAATATAGCTAAAAGGGACGTAATAGATTGAGGAGCACACAGACAACTGGGGAATGGAGAAAACTAGGTGTTGGGATAGGAACTCAAAATGAAATTTAAACACTCTCATTACATAGTGATTCATTCATTGGAACACTATGAAGTGTGCTACAGGTGGGTTAGTCTGGTCATCCATCCACCCTTGGATGAGATTTGGTCCTATTGCAGGACCATCTCTGGAGGTTGGGGGTGGTAACAGTGTAGCAATGATCACTAAAAGACAACTCAAATGCTACCCATTTAAATCTAGCACCAAATAAGCCATGGTCTGTGTCAGCATGTGAGCTTCTGCTCAGGAGTGGGTGAGCTCTGGAGGACTGCGCAGGTCCCTTACTGAATGCTTGGTTTACTCAGGAAGTGCGTTGCTTTGCACCCCCATTCTTCCCCTGCTGCCATGGATGATGATGTTTTCCCTTCTACATCTTGGCTGTGCTTACTTTGTCTTTGCCCACGCTGAGATTCACAGAATAGGTGAGAGTGCAGGCACTTAGGTACATTAGGCACTAGGCATGGTGGGTGGGGACCCAGGGCAATAAGAGATCTCAGAACTGAGCAGGATATAAATTACTACAGGAAGCCAACTGAGCTCTGTGACAACACATGGTGACAACAAATGGTGACATTTCCTCCACCGCCCTTTCTACCCCAAACTCCAACATGTCTGCCCTTGTCTTTGTAGAGAAACTTGGAAAAATCTGCTCAGGTCAGGAGCCCCAGCCTTTCTCCCATCTGCTCATCCCCAGTCCTGGCCTCGAACATAGTTTCCCTGGTACCTGGAGGGGGGGGGCCGAACTGGTTCTGTCTTCTGTCCTCTAAGAGTTTACACAGCAACCATGGCTGGCAGTGGAGGACAAACTGGCTCCCTTGGGCCTCCAGCCCTCCACACCCTCCTGGTTTAGCTGCTCTGGTCACTCCTCTGCATCATCTTTCTCCCCTGCCCCCACAGCACCCCAGTGCTATCCTGGGTCACCCTGCCCCCTCCCCCACGTCCACTACCTGACCCTGGGTTACAGCTTCAAGTACAACCTGTTTTCTCTCTCAGCTGCAACCTCATCCCGACTCACACCCCAGAAACTGAACCATCCTGGGCCCTGCCATGAAAGTATGGGAGACCTGCAGCACCCACACTGGACCTAGTCAGGCCTCAGTGCCCCTTGCTGGGGATTAGGGGGCAGCAGTGAGCTTCCTCCCTGACCTTAGTGTGAATGTGTCTAAAGACAAAACTGCTAGAATTGGCCAGGAAGATGGCTCAGTAGGTAGAGCCTTTCTGCATAAGCTTGACAACCCGAGTCTGAGCTCTAAAACCCAGGAAGTAGAAGGGAAGCATCTCCACAGAGCTGTCCTCTGACTGCCACATACGCCCACGTAGACACATCCCACACATAAATAAACTATCTTATTTGATATGGTGGGGGAGCAGTTAAGATGGTAGTTTTTTGTCTGTGTTTTACCACAGGAGGAAACGGGGGTATGAGAAATTAGTTTTCCTATCAAGGTTACTAGCCAACACTCTACAACCTCCCTCTGCTTGTAAAACTCTGGTGTATGCGCCTGTTGATTCTATCACACCCTTCCTTGTCCTTTGTGCTGATTAGTAATGAGCCAACAGCATCAGACTGTAAAATCCAGCTCCCACCAATGGGGTGAGACCCAGTCACTACTCACCCTACAGTGGGGGGGGGGGACTTTTGTTCTCCCATTTCACCGGTAGCACACTCTTTTTGCAAAAAGAAATTCCCTTCCTGGATTAATTTTGCTTTGATTGTATGCCTTTTTTGTACAACACCAAGAGTATTCTTTTTTTATCAAAATGATCCTGGATTGGGCAGGTAAATCCTGGGGAGTCAGCCCCGTGCTCCCTCCCATCACACCTCCCCTCCAGCCCACCTCCAGCCCTAAAGGATTACTGGCCACGCAGCCACCTGGAGATTCTCCCTTGGCCTCCGTCCTCCCCTTTTTCCCACAGGAGACATGGACTTATCTGAGCCCCTTGAAGGCCAGCTTCATGGCCACTGGCCACCACCTCTGTCCTGGAATGCTTAGGCGGGGGGAGAAGAAGATGACCAGGAGACAAACAGGCCACTTGCATTCAACGTACTTCCAGGGCAGCCTTGCCTAGTCAGATCAGGACTTTCCACATGACCCAGTCCTCTGCCCCTCTTACACACTCCTCACTAGTATACAAGTACAAGCACACAGATCCAGGGACCCTCAGGGTTCTGACAGCCCAGCAGGCCTGGCCCTGCTGCCTCTGAGCCCCATGTACAGACAGCAGGAATGCAGCCCCAACCAGACATTGAGCAATAAACCGAGGGACCCCACAGCCCCCTTCCTCACCCCTCAGCTCACCTCGGAGGTCCATGGCAGGGCCCAGCACGGTTCAGTTCCTGGGTAGTAGTAAATCCTTAGGCACAGCCCATACCTCAGGCACACTGCAGGACCCACCCTCAGGAGAGAAAGCTCAGTCCTGAACACCTGTGGGCGGGGAAGAACTCTAGCAGACTTCTGATATGCCCAGGTGTGTCTCCAGGAACCAGGTGGCCTCAGCCAGGTATCCCCATGGGCACAGGCAGTATCTCAGCGACATCAGTTGACTGGCAGTGATTAGATTATAGAGAAGTATGAAACATGAATCCGGAAAAATTAATCAAGGTGAATGGGCACCAAATTCCATTCTGCTGGACCCTGTTGTCTCTGGGTGTACAATACTAAGTAATTACAAAAATCAATCCTTAAGAACCCTTAATATTTGGGAGTCCAATTTTGCTTTAAAGTTCTTAAGCACAGAAATTTTAAACTTTTAAACATAAATTTAGTTAGCACATTTCCCCACTGAGTTATATACCCTGTGTAAAAGTCTTGTCTCTGTGCTGGGAACCTCTTCCCCCTTTTCCTTTCCCCTCTATAACCCACTAAATAAATACCCATTTTCTCTGCATGGCATGTCTAATAGATCTCTGTCTCCCGCCTGCTACATGGCTCCCTGCCTGGGACCTGCTGCATTTGTGGCTCGCTGTGGTCTTGTGGCCTGCTGCCCTCTGCCTCCACTCAGGGACCTGCAGCGTTTATGCCATTGTACCCCTCAGGGAACCACAGCATTTTATTTTTACCATAACAACAGGGATGCCAAGATACAGGATATCAGGATTTGATGCATCTGACAAACAGGCAAGCCAAAGTGCATCCTTTGCTTTGCATCCTTTTTGTCACATGCAAACCAAACAGCTTCAACTGAGAGGTGAAGGCTGGGTGCTGCGAGACAATTTTGGCAAATTTGTATTTGCTCTTAAGGGGGATCTAGACATATATACTGTGAAAGAACAGAAGGGAACATAGTCAACCAAAATAATATTAGTCTACAATCCACTTCAGACTTATCATTAATGGTTCTTCATAGGCCTTGGTGATGGTCCATTTTTCTGTAGCTGGGTCATGTTCCCCTGTGATGTTCCTGACCTGGGAATGATATAGTCAGTGTACCATGTACCTTGAGAGCAGTTGCGGTGGATGCTAGTTGGAAGGGATACATCCGGGGACCCAGACCTGAAGTGAGAACCCACAAAAGTTTATTTAACGATTTATCAAGGGTTTTATATATTTAGCAGTGTGGCTAAATGGATTGAGCTCCCACAGCACAGACCCTCCAATGCCCTCACCTCCTAAGACAAGGGTTCTGCAGACAGAACTCAAAGTATCTGTCCTGAATACCTTAGCTAGTACTGCAAAGCTCCATCCCTCCCAGCCTCAATCTAGGGACCCCACCCCATGCCCTGTCCATTGGCCCCACCTCACCTCATCCCTAGCAGTTCCTGCATAGAAACCCTCAGCTCCTATAGAAACCCTTAACATTCATGGCCAACTACACCCTGCAACTCCAGGTCTCAGAATTCAGCTGCACACTTCTGCAGCTCCAACGCCAAGGTCCCTAGAGAGACTTCAGTTTTGTTCTCTGGCAGATGGCCCCTAGGGCAGGGCGGGGCCATTAAATCCTATAAAGAACAAGGGCAGGTGCACAAGGAACTCGGTGCAGGTAGGGACCCTATTCCAGGTGGTACTTCCCTACCTGGTTAGAGACTCCTTTGCACATCTACTTCTCAGTGATGTTCTGATCCACTTTTAGCAGGTGAGAACCCAGAATCACCCAGAGACAACAGGGTCCAGCAGAATGGTATTTGGTGCCCATTCACCTTGATTAATTTTTCCGGATTCATGTTTCATACTTCTCTATAATCTAATCACTGCCAGTCAACTGCCTTCATCCTCTCACTCCTGTGGGGTTTGGGCTCCAGGGCCTCAACCTTGCATTGCATAGAAGCACACTGTGAGTCAGAAAGCTGGAGCTTAGGCCCACAGCACAGGTCACCATTGACCTTCACTTCCCTCCTAGCCACTCCATCTCGGGCTTTCACTGTCTGAGAGCTCATTGAAACTGGAAACCAGCCAAGCAAGACCCAAGTCTCCTCTCTCCTTCCACCCCTCACTTGGCCCATTAGAGAGAGAGAGAATGAGGGAGAGAGAGAGAGAGAGAGAGAGAGAGAGAGAGAGAGAGAGAGAGACTACAGTTTATGTTCTGGAAGACTCAGAACTGCCAAGATACCTGCGCTTCCCAGTCTGTGATACAGAGTCAATAGAGCACCATCGGAATCTTAGCAAGTTATTTTGTAAGCATCAAACAGCTAGTTAAGACTGGGAAATTTGTCTCAGTTGGTAGAATGGCTGCCCTGGTATACCCAAAGCAAGAGTTTGATCCCAGCACTTTACAGGTGGAGGCAGGACAATCAAGATTTCAAGGTCATCTTGGCTACATAGTGAGTCCAACATCAGCCTGAGGTAAAAGATGCTGTCTAGGGAAGAAAAAAAAAAGAAGACTGAATTTTAAAAATATATGTGGAAAAGCTAAAACTCCAAGGACAGCTGACACAGTGATGAGGGATAAAGCCTTAGGACTCACACTACCTGGGGCAGCGTGGTATTTGAAAGACTGGACACATAGACAAGTGGAGCAGAATCAAGAGTCCAGACATTAACCCACAACTATCAGCTCACTGGTCTTTTGCAGAGGAGTAAGGCCAATACAGCAGAGAAAGGGCAGTGCTGGATTGTCTGAACACACACACATAAAACAAATAAGAGACTGCCCAGCCTTCATAAAAGTTAATCCAGTACAGCTCACAGGTTTAAATGCAAATATGGTTTATAGATGATAACTCAGGAGGAAATGTAGACAATAAGAGTTGCTGATTATCTGATGAAAGACTATCATTCAAAGTACATAAAGAATTCATAAAACCCACCCTTATAAAACCAGTCAACTCTACTGTGGTGCTTAAACTTAAGTGTCAATTTCGTAATATCTAGAACTGACTAGGACATATCTCTGGGACGACGGTTCCAGGAAGTATTGACTGAGTGGACAGCACCTTCCTGCAGTGGCCCAGAGAGAGAGGGTCCATGGAAGAACCTTACACGTGTTTGACTCCCTTAGTTTCTTGCTGGTGAATGTGTCTCTCGTGGCTGAATTACAGTAAAAAATTTTTCTCCATGTGTAGGGGCCCACAGAAGTGGGTCTGCACTTGATATGGGATTCCCCTCTGTATGCTGTAAATACCATTGGTTAATAAAGAGACTGTCTTATACCTGTGATAGGGTAGAGTAGAGCTAGGCAGGGAAAACTAAACTGAATGCTGGAAGAAAGGAGGCAGAGTCAGGGAGAAGCCATGGAGCCGCCACCGGAGAGAGATGGGCTGAAACTTTGCTGGCAGGCCATGACCTCGTGGTGATGCACAGATTAATGGAGATGGGTTAAATTAAGATGTAAGAGTTAGCAAATGAGAAACTAGAGCTAATGGGCCAAGTAGTGATTTAAATAATTATTATTATTAATTAAAAATTAATAATAATTTCTGTGTGATTATTTCAGGAGTCTGGGTGGCCTAAGAAATGAACAAGCAGCCACCTACTACATTCACTATCTTGACTGAAGGTCAGAGAGTTTAAGCCTGCTCTTGCTCTTTTAAGATTATTTACAAGAGTTCTGACTTAAGGTATGTCTACAAACAAGATATCTTTTTTTAAATATTTATTTATTATGTATACAATATTCTGTCTGTTGTATGCCTGCAGGCCAGAAGAGGGCACCAGACCCCATTACAGATGGTTGTGAGCCACTATGTGGTTGCTGGGAATTGAACTCAGGACCTTCGGAAGAGCAAGCAATCCTCTTAACCTCTGAGCTATCTCTCCAGCCCCAAACAAGATATCTTGACCTAGGATATGGTTATTTAGTGTCTTGGATATTGAAATGACTCACAGAGTTGGATCCATTCCACCTTGACCAAAGGTTAGAGAATTCAAGTCTATTTCTTCTCCATCAAGAATATAACAGGAAATTTGACCTAGGGAGTGGCTGCCTATAGGATGCTTGGTCTGCCTAAAAAGCAGAACGCTTAACTCAGAACATAGTTGCTTGATATCTCAGAAATTGAAGCAGGTAATTGTTTGTTTATTGTATTATGTTAAAGCAGTCTTTTGCCTTCTTCCCTCCCTTTTGGATTGGGGTATATAAGCATATGAAAAATGGTGAATTCAGTATTCACTGGATTACTTTCCCAGTTCTAGTCTACATCACTGTTCTTTTCTTTTGTATCTCTGTTCCTCCTATCTAATATTTCTAACACAGAGACCCCTACCCTGAAATATGAGAACCCCATTGAGGCTGGACCCCAACAGATGGGACCCCAATGTGGGACCCCAACATCCATACCTGTGTCAGAGAGTATCAGTGGCTAAGGTAAGAGCATTAATTGGTAAGGAATGGGATTGTGTACTTCGGGGTAAGGATGTGTTGGATGATCCTAATGAAGATGAGAATTTTGGACACTCAGATTCTTAAGAGTTAATCTCACTTGAAGTAGTATCCTCAGGTCCACCCCCCTTGAAATATTGCCCTTTTCACCTTTGACTGAGGAAATTAATTCTTCATTGCCTGTTAAACCAACAGTGATTTTTCTCTGAAGGAAATGACAAGCAAAATAATACTGATATCCCTTGGGGCCCACCAATAGTTGCCTCTAGACCTACACCAAACTTGAGGCAAAGCAGGCTCTTAGAGGGGAGGTAGAAAGTGTAGTCCATGAGGAGATATCCAGCACTACTAAAGAGCTTAATAAATTTGCTAATTCCTTCAAGCAGAAGTCTGAGGAATATGTGTGGGAGTGGATTTTTAAGGTTGTGGGATAATGGTGGAAGGAACATAAAACTAGATCAAGTTGAATTTATTGATACAGGTCCTCTGAGTGGAGATTCCAGGATCAATATGGAAGCTTGCACAGTTAAAGGGGGTGCCAAAAGTTAGTTTGAATGATTGGATAAAGCATCTGTCAAAAGATGGCCTACTGAAGAGGAGTTGGAGATGCCTGATATCCCTTGGTTTAGTGTTGATGAGGGGATGTTAAGGCTCAGGAAAGTTGCGATGCTAGAGTGGGCACACTGTCTAAAACCATATCCTTCACAATGGGGAGGCCCAGAATACATGTTCTTCTCTAATCCTATGAGATGCAAAATGGTGAGAAGGTCACCAGGACATTTGAAGAGCATTGCTATCACTCTTTCTTGTGCCAGAACTTAGGGCTGGAGATGCTGCTGCTCAGTTGTATTATTTAAGTGAAATGGGTTTAATTGGGCCCCAAGGGAGCAGAGACCAGGTGGCTGCTCAGAATCACCAAAAGCTTGGTGATTGTGGTTATAATGGGCAGCACAGACTGTGTGATGTCCATATTGGCCTGTGGTGGCTATTTGTTGTTGTCTGAAATATTGTCCAGAAACCTCTGTAATTAGCTAAAATCCAAAATTGGAGGGCATAAGAGTGAAGGAAATTTTGTTTAATTTTAATTAGGAAGTTCTACTTCTAATCCAGATGTTGAGGTGGTAATACACATACCTATAATCCAGATATTGAGGCTGGAAGACACATCTTATATCTAAGCCACACCTTCAACTAGAAACCTGTATAAGGGCATGGAAATAGGAAGCTTTCGCTTTTTTTACTGCTTGCTCTTACCTTGATAGCAAGCCCATTTCTTCACTAGCTTTGGAGTATGCTTCTTTGGGATTCCAGCATATACTGAAGACCAGCTGAGATACTCAGTCTCATGGACCCAGCAACAATGGTATTCTTGGAATTTTCATTCACACTCAACCATTGTTAGAGTAACTGGACTGCAGTCTATAAGTCATTCTACTGAATCCCATATACAGTGTGTGTGTGTGTGTGTGTGTGTGTGTGTGTGTGTGTGTGTGTAATTGAGAGAGTTAGTGAGTTGTCAGAGCTTTGAAGACGGGAATGTTGAGAGCAATACAGACAATGGAAGCCTGGCCTATGAAGTTTCAGGGGGAAGCAAAGATTCTACAAGGCCATTTGTGTGAAGAATCTGTGGTTCTGGTCAGCAGGAACTGAGGAATTGGCAGTAATTAACAAGAAGCCAGAGTCACTAAAGTAAAACCCTTGTTTTATGGGATACTTGGCACAGGTCAGCTGGAGCTGAATAATTGGTGATGAAGAGGAGACCGGCATCAATGAGGTGAAATCTTCTGGGAAATGTTTGCTGCAAGAACATGGAGTCTATGTTCCAAACATGGCTAAGGCTGTAGCTCCTTCTGGCAGTTAAACTTGGTAGTGTAAGAGTTACCCTGGTGGTATTGGTTTTAGAGGCATGAAAAGGACATGAAGAGCTTCTTCAAAAAGGTTGGTCTCAAAATTACACTAGAAAGAAATAAAACAAAAGTCAATTTTTCAATAGCAGGGATATATTGTGGATAGATGTACACTACACCCTCAAAAGCTATAACTTCAAACATCATCCTTTAAAACGTGAAATAAGCTGGGCAAGGTGATGTATGTCTTTAATCCCAGCCCTGGTCAAAGAGGCAGATGGATCTCATTGAGTTCTAGACCAGCCTAGTCTACAAACTGAGTTTCAGGACAGCCAGAGCTGTTACACAGAGAAACATTGCCTGGAAAACTAGATAGATAGATAGATAGATAGATAGATAGATAGATAGATAGATAGATAGATAGATGATAGATAGAAAAATAGATAGATGTAAGAGCAGCCACATTGTAAAAGAAATATTACTAAAGCTTAAATCACACATAGAACCCCACACAATAATAGTGAGAAACTTTAACACCCCACGCTCACAAATGGATAAGTCATCCAGACAGAAACTAAACAGAGAAATAGCAGAACAGATTTTATGAATCAAATGAGCATAAGAGATAGTTTAACATTTCACACAAACACAAAATAATATACCATATACTCAGCCACAAAGCCAGTCTCAACAGATACAAAAAAAAACTGGAATAACCCTGATATCTTATCAGACCACCATGGAGTAAAGATGAATTTCAACAACAACACAAACTACAGAAAGCCTACAAACTCGTGGAAACTGAACTACTCTCTACTGACTTACTACTGGGTCAAGGAAGAAATAAGTTAAAGCCTTATTAGAGTTCTATGAAAATTAATTCACAGCATACCCAAAATTATGAGACACAATGAATGCGGCACTAAAAAGAAAGTTCATAACACTGAGTACCTTGATGAAGATTTTGGAGAGATCCCATACCAGTGACTTAACAGCACACATGAAAGGTCTAGAACAAAAAAAGAGACACACCTAAGAAAAGTAGAAGACAGGAAATAAACTGAAGGCTGAAATCAATAAAATAGAAACAAAGAGGACAATCCAAAGAATCAATGAAATAAAGATTTGGTTCTTTGAGAAAATCAACAAAATAGATAAACCCTTATCAAAAATAAGTAAAAGTCAGAGAATATACAAATCAACAAAATCAGGAACAACAAAAAAAGGAAGACTTAACATGAGACTCCTAGGAAGTTCAGAGGATCATTAGGTCATACACCAAAAACCTGTACTCCACAAAATTAGAAAATCTAAAAGAAATGAACAAATTTCTTAATAGATACCACTTACCTAAGTTTAATCAAGAGCACATAAACAATTTGAAAAGATATATAACCCCTAAGGAAATAGAAGCAGTTATTAAAAGTCTTCCAAACAAAAAGAAAAAAAAAGCCCAAGGCCAGATGGTTTTAGTGCAAAATTCTTCTAGACTGTCGAAGAGATGATAACAGTACTCTTCAAATAACTCACAAAATAGAAACANAAAAGCCCAAGGCCAGATGGTTTTAGTGCAAAATTCTTCTAGACTGTCGAAGAGATGATAACAGTACTCTTCAAATAACTCACAAAATAGAAACAGAAGGAACATTGTCAAATTCTTTCTATGAGACAACAGTCACCCTGATGACCAAACCACACAAAGATCCAACAAAGAAAGAGATTACAGACCAATTTTACTCATGAAATTTGAAGCAAAATGCTCAATAAACAAACAAAATCCAAGAACACATCAAAAAGATCATCCACCATGACCAAGCAGGCTTCATGCCAGAGACACAGGAATGGTACAACATATGAAAATCAGTCAATATAATCTACCATATAAAAAAATGAAAGAAAAAATACATGAACATCTCATTAGATGCTGAAAATACCTTTGACAAAATCCAACACCTCTTCCTGATAAAGATTCTGGAGAGATCAGGGATATATGATGGCAGAAGTCACAAAATAATCCCACATAAATTCAGAATTATGAATAATGGGTTATTTATTTAAGGTAAACTTACAGATCACTGTCCTAGATAACAGTCCTCTACATGAACAGGAACAGAGTCTAGCAGCCGGAAGTGAGAGCCGGAAGCAAGAGAGGGAGCACACTTTACAGCTGCATTTACAGTATCAGAGACCTCACCCAAGTGGGCTGGTATCTTAAATGCTATTGGCTGAAGAAGCAGAATGTGCTCCCACAATACCTCCTTCTTTTGTTTAAATAAGAGAGTTCCAAACCCAATTCAAAAGTACATACACTAGGAACAGATGTCAAGTATAATTAGAATTACAACCAGCTTAAACAATATTAAGCAAGGAATGTGTGCTAAATGTTTTAATAAACATTCTATCTGTTATACCTAAATCCACGGGGTCCCCTCAAAAGTCAAACAAGGAGACAGAGTCCCATATGTAAAAGCAAAGAGCCTTTATTTTAATCAAGTTTCTGCATGTCCAACATAGTGGAATACCCAGAGCCTAAGCTCAATTAGAATAGGGTTTTTATAGTAGTAGAGGTGGGGGTGAGAGGTCTCTGAGGTTTAGGGCCCCTGATTGGCTGACATTTGTTTAGGGGTGTCCTGTTGAGGTACGCTGGCAGGTGTCTCTATCTACAGCTCTTGGAATGCCAGAGCATTTCCTTTGAATGGTCTGCTCTTGGGTGGGGGTCGGGCAATCTTGGCCTGTCAGGCATTGTCTCAGGGTAAATTATTGAGACTCCAGATTCCATTTAAATTCATCGATGGCCAGAGTCCCAGGTGATAATGGTTAGAAGTAAAGAACTTCCTTTGGGTGCCCTGCCCAGACTTGGCTTATTATGGCTGGCCCCCACGCTATCCTAAGGAGTCTAAGTCTTGTATAGGAAATGGCTTGGCTAGATCATAAGAGGACAGTAACTACTACTATGTAATCTTCAACCTCATTGAAGGTATGAGAAGGGAGATAATATTACTTGAGCA